ACCATGCGCATGGTGAACACAGGGGTACATCCATAATTTCTATGCTGTGGATTCATAATTTTGTTCTTCATTTGTTGTTAACGACGTTTCTCTCTTCGCAATCGCATTATTTCGTCTTCATAGTACAGGTATTATGAATCTATAGTGCATAAATTATGAATCTACAGTATAGAAATTATGAATCTAGAAATTATGAATCTACAATATAGATGTTATGAATCTACAGTATAGAAATTATGAATCTACAACTTAGAAATTATCGATCGATCCCGTGTTCACAAATTATGAATCTACAGTATTGAAATTATGAATTTACAGTACAGAAATTATGAATCTACAGCTTAGAAATTATGGATCTATCTCATGTTCACAAATTATGAATCTACAGTATAGAAATTATGAATCTACAATATATATGTTATGAATCTACAATATAAAAATTATGAATCTACAACTTAGAAATTATGGATCTATCTCGTGTTCACCATACGGTTCCACAACATAACTATCCATTCTTGGAGGGGACCGTAGATACAAATATCAAGGTGGTGCACCTAATATAGACCAAATGAGGAGGCCCATTTAAGTGGGCCATATTGATACCCAGCTTTAAAATATTTGCCCCTTTTTCTTGAAAGGAGAAAGTTAATTTGTGGGCCCAATAGAAATGGGCTGCATTCACATGGTTTGTGGGCCTAAACTTTGGCCCATCATGATCTCTAGCGCAAATTATGCCATAGAATCGTGTTCACCGAAATGGTGAACACAAGACAAAACGATGTCGTTTTTAGGCCAAAAAAAAAAATTTCGCGGATGTGGAGTTAACGGCGCGCGTTTGATCAAATTATGAATTTTCTGTTATGAGATTATGAATTTTATGAAAATTCATAATCTCATAACAGAAAATTCATAATCGCATAACAGAAAATTCATAATCTCACAACTGAAAATTCATAATCTCATAACAGAAAATTCATAATCTTATAACAGAAAATTCATAATCTCATGGTTCCAAAGTGAATGTGTAGGCATGGTTCCAAAGTGAATGTGCAGGGGATTCATAATTTATTAATGTCCGTGATTTCGGACGGGAATATGTAGGCATGGTTCCAAAGTGAATGTGCAGGCATGAATTCATAATTTATGAATGTCCGAAATTATGAATGTAATGAAAATTCATAATCTCATAACAGAAAATTCATAATCGCATAACAGAAAATTCATAATCTCATAACTGAAAATTCATAATCTCATAACAGAAAATTCATAATCTTATAACAGAAAATTCATAATCTCATGGTTCCAAAGTGAATGTGTAGGCATGGTTCCAAAGTGAATGTGCAGCCATGGATTCATAATTTATGAATGTCTGTGATTTCGGACGGAAATGTGTAGGCATGGTTCCAAAGTGAATGTGCAGGCATGAATTCATAATTTATGAATGTCCGAAATCTTTGTTCACTTCAAATTAAAGTGAAACCGCAAAATGTGAAAATAAAAAAGAAAAGTCACGCAATTAATAATAAAAAAAAAAAAAAAAGATAACGGTGTACTAACACCGTTAGAACCGTGTTCACCATGAATGGTGAACACGGTTCCATGGCATAACGTCTGGATCTCTAACTACCATAATAATTATACACTATACTCAACACTTGAGAATAAAAGTATGACTTTGTCACTTTGGCCTTTGGAACAACTTTACACATCTTCCTTCAAAAAAGATTAAATAATATTAAAGGACCAACTTCAACTAAATTGGTGAAACAGTTGACTGGATAATCACAAAATTTCAAGTATAATCTTTTTAGTTTGAACCGATCAGCTATGAACAACTTAAATTGACTTAATTCACAAGGCAGACTTCACCCAGACAACACATTCAGATAGTAGTTGTGGTCTTTCAATAAATCAAAAGTTTAATTACATTTTATGTCTAATAATTTTAAAATATTATAAAATAATAATTATGCTTTCCTCTATCTTTCTCATCATCATAACATTTGTTTTCTCAAAATGACAAAATAAAAAAGTTTCTCATTTTTTTATAGGAAAAATAAAAAGTATATACTTTTTAGCTACTATTTTTTTTTTGAAAGCACTTTTTAGCTACTATTGTTGTTTTATTTAAAAGTGTTTATAATTTTATAATTTAACCTTTTGTATTTAATAACCTTTTTAATGTAACTAATAAATTATAAATTTTATTTACTAATACTAAATTGAGTTATATATAATCAAAGACAATGGGTCAACCAAAAGAAAAAAAAAAGTAGTTAGTATGTAAATGGAAAATGTCACCACTATAAGTTAATTTAAACAAATTTAGCCTTGTTTATAATGTTGCACTTTTAGTTTCTACTGTTATATACTTGTCAAATTCCATTAATATATGAATTTATTTTCGTATTTATAATCTTTCACGATTAAAAATGACATTCACATGGAGAGAATGAAACTTTAACCATTGATGTTGATTTTAAATTTTTAAAAAAAATTCATAAAAAAAAAGAGTTCTATGAGTGGTAATTATATACTATCAGGGACTGAAAATATAACATAATACACAATTAAGAGACTAAATATGCTTAAATCAATTAATAGTGACTAAATTTTTAAAAGTGAAACAATTTAGAGGCTAAATGTGCATATGTAAATGAGCTAAGCTACTTGTGAGCTACTTTGATCCGATTTGACAAATATTTAAATTCGGTTCAATTATTGTCAAACTCGACTTTGAGCTTGAATGGTTTGAATAACGAGTCAAGTTGAATTCAAGTCTTTTAAGGGAGAAGTGTTAAATACCATATACTACTGTCAAGTGCTCAGTTCCCTCCATGAACTAAATTAAAGGTTAATTAACCACACTTACCTGCTAAATTTGTTCAATTGATTTTTTTTTTTTTTGATTGTGAACAGGTTACCAATCTAATTATTAAAAAAAATAATTTAAAATTTTAACAAAAAAAAAACGAAATTTCAACCGTCACCGACTGTCCTCGCCAGACAGCCGATAGTGGCTGAGTATTTTAAGAAACAACCGTGGTTGTCATGTTTGAGGTCCAGATCTGGACCTCAAACGACCTGGAACGAGGGCTGGCCGCCGCCCTGGAATGGCCATGGCCGTCCCCCAGACATAATATAAATATAATATTATATTACACATAGTCAAACTTCTAATTAGTAATTACTTAGAAAATAAATACACGAATGATAATACAATTGTAAAGTTAGATACTCAATTATTATAGATGTATGCGATCTTTTTAATTTTTTTTTTTTTAAACTCTTTATGAGAGCTTTTTGGTGACTATGAATATTATATTATTTGATGGTACAGGTATGGCGGATTGTTGGGGGACGTGTCATCATATTATAGCGTCGTCAAATTGTTGGTCGCCACGTAACCGTCAACCAGAAATCGTCATCTTTAAGGTGTCGCCTTGTCACAGGGCCGTACACCTCCACACTTTGTCACAACTTTTGAGTCATCTCTGGATAACGTGTGTGTGTATCGTATATATCTGTTGTTTGATGATTTAATATGCTTCAATATTGAATATACAAAATCGTCCAATAAATTTAATTCAAAAGTTATTCATAAACCTTAGCTTCTCCCAAAAGTTATTCATAAACCTTAATCGAGCGTAGGGAAGGTGAATGATTCAAATTATTCGTGTATTACTTGAATTCAATTTAATAATTATTTGAGTTTAATTTAATTATTGTCGAGTTGATCTGAGCTCAAGCTTGTTGAGTAACAAGTTTATTTGAACTTAAATATTTAATACTTGGCTCGAGTAGATTGTGAGTTTAATCAAGTTTTTAAATTAGAGCTTGATCGAGCTTGAACTTCAATTTTTTGAATCGAACCAGGTTTTGAGCTTCTTAGCTAGTCTGATCAGGTCGACGAACTCATTTACACCTCACCTCTAATATAGCAGTCTAAATTTAGCTCAAATCAATTAAACATGTGTGTCATACATCATTAATACCATTGAATGTTCATTGGAGTCATTGCGCAAACACAACAGGCCATACATCATCGTTTAAAAACCCCCATCTTGATGATTACACTTCACATTCCGAGAGATATATAGTATAAATAGTATGTCTTTATTTTGTATTGAAATCAGACTCTTAGAACATCTTCAATAGGCATGAATTTTGGGGAGTTTTTGAAGAGGTGATTAGGAGAAAAAACATGAGAGAGAGAAAGGAAAGAAGAAGAAAATAACTGCAAATGAAATAATACGCCCAGCGGGTACATGGAGGGCGCTCCTAGTGTGCATAACATGCACCAGGGAGCAGTTTCACTGATTTGGTAGGGTTCACACATCGACAAAACTAAGGTCTTCCTGTAAAGGCCTAAATTACTCTCTCTCATCTCTTGTCCACATAGAATTACATTTCCTCAAAAACCATTCCAAAATCTCTATTGGAGATGCTCTTAGCATTTTGTATTGTTACACTCCTATTCCCCTAGAAAATAGTTGTACTCGAGTCACCCGTATTATTTAACTTGATAAAACACTTGTGACATTTCATGTACTTATTACTAAATCCATCAAAATCATTTTATAATATAAACTTAGTATCTCATCCATTATTAAACGATATAAACTTGAACAAATCAATTTCATCTAGTCACTAAAAATTTAGCGAATAATTCTAGACGACTTGAATAACAAAAACTAAACTTATATCAGTATTAAAAGTGACGGCTGTCCTAACTTTAAGATTATAATATTTATTTTAATTCTCGGACCATATTTGAATTGGACGAATGGACGATGCTTATAATTTCTCGTCCAGTTATATAATCAACTCAGATATGATGGTGACGGTGCAAGTTCATAGATTGAAAATAAATAATTAAATAATACTCCGTATACATAAAAATAATAATAATTTAAACATAAAGATGAAAAAGATGTTTGAGTGGACGAAATCGTGCCTCAAAACCGTCACTTTTAAGCTGCAAGGACAGGAGCCAAAGGTTAACCCTACCATGTCTTTAATGGAGAGTCCGCAGGTTATAAATACTGTCACAAATTTACGAAACAAAATGCACAGGAAGCTTGCTCTCATGGCTCATGAAGAGTGATGATTGGACGGTCTTTTTCTTTCTATTTTTTTTTTTTTTAAATTCTCTGCTTTTATATTTTTTTTTTTTTATTTATGAATGCAAGAAGCTGGCGATAAATGCTGATTTGGGTGTTCGTATTTGTATTTACAGTGGGATTATTCTGGACTTTCAGCGACGAGTTTTCCAGATGGCAGGAAGCAAGAGTCAAAATAGTGACGAATATTTCAGTTTCCGTGACGAATTAATTATGAGAATAGCGACGATCATGAGAGAAATGTTTCGTCGAGCGGACATAGATATGGCGTTGGAGTATATGTGACGGTTGCATGACCGTCCGGGCAACGGCGGCGAACGTCTGAATATGGTCGGAGGTTAACGGCGCCGTTGCCATCTTATCAAAGGCAAGTCATGTTGGCTAATTTGGGTTCGACAACTACTCAAGAATATGGATGAAAATTATATTCCAGTTAAGTTGTCATTTTCCTTTGTACTAGACTACTAGTATTTCATCATTCGGAAGGATTATAATATACATTTATTAATTATATGAATTATAAAATTAATATATTGCGTAATAATTTTAAGGCACTAAAATATTATATAATAATATGACCGGTTTTCAAAAAATATAATATTATGACCATGAAATATATAACAGATGTATTAAAATTAATATATATAGTAAACTCAAGAACATCTCATAGTACAAACGAGTGAGATAGGTAAATGTGGAGGTATGAATTACAACAAATAAATAAATTTCTTTCTTTTTATAATTATATGTCCTATACTTTAATTTCTTTTACACTAATTTTTTTTTATCAACAATTAAAAATGATTTTGTAATGATATAGATTTAATTTGTGACAATATTTAGATTTTGTTTTATGCAATTTAATTTCATCTCATTCATTTATAATGAAATTTATCAATTCATAAACCAAAAATTTATATATATATATATATATATATATATATATATATATATATATATATATATATATATATATATATATATATATATATATATATATAAGCTGCACTATTTATTTTTTTTATTTTTTTTTATTTTTTTATTCTTTTGGAATGCTACTAGCTCTATTACAATGTAAAGCTGCACTATTTAATATAACTAACATTTTAAAAATATTCAAATGAATAATTTGTATAAGGGCAATTGCTCTAACTTTTTATCTTAAATCTTGCATAGTCTAATTAACATTACCTTTTTCTTATTTTACTTATCATTTATTAATCAAATAAACATTTATTAATTGCTTATTTTTAACTTTTTATAAAAGTTTTTAAGTCGATTTATGTAATTTTTAAACGCACAAATTAAATATTATTGATTTGTTGGGAAATCAAGTGTGGAGCGTATTTGAATAAAATAAATAAATAATTGGATTTAGTGTGTTCTAAAACATAAATACTTTATGAGTGATTGAAGTATATGTGATTGACTAGTTCTTTTACGATTAAATAATGCCATATGATTATTTATAAATAATTATTTCAAAGTATATCAATGCAATATTATATCGGAGATGTTCATTTATAGGTAAATAAATATTGAATTTAATTTGTTTATTTAAATCGGTAATTTAAAGTATATAAATACAAGATAATATATGAGAAATTGATTATATTGTTATTAAAATAAATGTTTGCAACTTTGTAATAACGCTAGTTTAAATACTTAGTCTAAAAATAATAGTCTAAATAAATACTACTTTTTATTTAAATTTCTCTAATTCTTCTTAATTCTCTTTTGGGTAGTATTGTCATGGCCTTCATCTACAGTACATGTCCTTTTTTTTTTAATTTTTTTATTGGTAGTGTGTCATGTGGAATTAGGTTAATGGTGGTAGCATAGATGGATTCATCGTGCAATGAGATTATGGTCTATGAAGCTTTAGATTTGTCTTGTTGTGTATATGATGAGATTTTAGTTGTACTATTAACTCTTTATCTTATAAGCACCTATTGATATTTGGTAATGGTAGTTTTTCCCTACATGTTTCATGATATGTGAGATGCGTGTCGTAGGTTATCACATAAAAGTATTGAACAAAATATTAATATTTATTATATTTGTATAAAATACTTGGTAAATAAATATATATAACATATTTTGTATTATAACTTTGATATTTAATTACAAGATAATATAAAAAGAAGACAATGGACAATGTAGTGAATATAATAAATTAATAAATTTGAAGGTAATGAATCCTTGAATTGTAGAAAATAAAGATAATATAACTAATGAAATTATATCTCTTTTTAATTTTTTTATAATGAATAATTTTTTTTAAATAAAGGCATTATAAACATCGAATTAATTCTAAATTAATTAAATGCATATGTATTATTTTTGTTGTAGCTACTAATTTATTTAATTTAATAAGAGTAATAATTAAAGTGCCGTACATACTTTAATCAACAATAATGAAATCATTGATTTTCTAAAATTTACATTCGTTGTTGAGACAAATTGTTTTGAGTATTTGTTAATGACAATAGTTATAATTCCTGTCAGTAGAGGATGATAATAAATAATTCAAAATATATAGTTACAATAGATATTGTTATAATGGTATAGTAAAAATTAACTTACAAATTTCTTTAGAAGATTTCATGCATTGATAAAGTTCTGATGTGTAAACTTGTCCATTTGGAGCCAGTGAGATGTCAGCATTGTCAATTCTTTAGAAAATGGTCCTACCGTTTTAGAGCCCAGGTGTAATTGTATTTACTATCAACAACTTTGTAGTTAGGTCGCGTAGGTCTGACAATGATGTAAGAACAATTTTGTCCCAAAAAAAAATAGTATAATATTTGTAAAATAATGTACAATTGTACCATTATAAAAATACATACAAAAAATATTAATATCATAACGACCTAAATCATACCAATAATGCAAAAGTATAATTAAATATTAAGTATTGTTCTGATCAAAATAATCAAAAGAAGATTAATTAAACGAAAAAAAAAAACGTAACCTAAATTTGTTTTTTTTTTTTTCTTTAAATGCATAAAAATCAAATGATTTTTAAAGTTCTTGGTTTATAATCTTTGATGCTTAACTTTGAATGTTATATATTTAATTGGACTAATTATTTGACCAAAGTTTATGTTATAATATATACTCCGTATATATATATATATATATATATATATATATATATATATATATATATATATATTAATACACTTTAATATATTCGTAGTATATGTTTAACAATTATGCTAACTCTAATTGGGCAATTGTTATGCCCTGCACCATGATGCACATAGCACTGTGCGCCCCACGCATCCCAAAACGATATCGTTTTGTTAAGTTGTGTAGGAAGTTGACGCGATTATGTACATTATGTTATACAATTATGTACATTTTTATACAATTATATACATTTATTTATACAATTATGTATATTTTTTAATACAATTATGTACATCCGAAATAGGGAATTTATGTGTATTATGCTAAGATTTTATGTGTATTATGTATTATGTTAGATTATGTGTATTATCTTTTCAAAAAAGAGTATGTGTATTTTGTTATACAATTACGTACATTCTTTTATACAGTTATGTACATTTTAGTATACAATTATGTACATTTTTTAAACATGAGATTTTTAAAAGAAAATTAACAGTCAACACAGGAAAGTGAAATTTCTAATTTTTTTTTTCCAAAACGACGTCGTTTTGCACCAGGGCGCACAATGCAATGCGCGCCCTGGTGCACGATATAAATTGCCCTAATTGGGATGATGTTCGAACCTAAGACATTTTTTATAGAAATTAATGGGTAAGTTAAAAATAATAAATAGTTAACAGAATATTCCGTTACTAAAGTTTGTTTAATTAACGGAATTTAGGTTATTTATTTAAGGGAAGAAAAATAATATAATAGAGGGTAAATAAGGAAAATCATTTTAAAAAAATACTAAAATCAAAATAATATGAACCATTCATTTTAAGAAATAATACAACCGACATTTTGTTTTTTGTTCGAGTTAAGGGCCTAACATTATTGACTCTTATTAGAATTGTAGATTTATTAATTTATTTTTTTCCTTGAATATTGATTCCTTATGTATTAAGTCTATTACCTTATAACCAACTTGGTTGGCGCGAGTGACTTGTACTTTCATCCCTTAAGAGAGGCCGTGAGTTCTATATCCCTTCGTGTATGAAAAAATTAATATATATAGTTAGCACTTTGTCCTTTAATTAGGTCGGCCTGATATGAACAAGGATTAGTCTGCGTATATGTACATGTTTAAAGGTACCTCCCGTGGCAATTTATATCATGGACCAGGGTCCACATTACATTATGGACCCTGAATTGAAACAACGAGGTACAAAATTCATACTCGTAAAGTACATAATTTCATAACACAAGACACAAAAATCACAACACAAAACATATACACACGTTATATATTTACTTATTTTTCAAATTTCGTTTAGGTACATAATTTGTGTTTATAATCACAGGATTTCACAACACTAGACATAGAAATTAATAACGTAAGACACAATTACTAATTTGTTTCAGGTATGGAATTCATACTCTTAAGGTACAAAATTTCATAACACAAGATACAAAAACTTGGAACATAACACACATGTACACATGCACTAGGGTCCACAGTGCATTGTGAACCTTGATCCATGGTGTATAAGGATTGGCCTCCCGTAATTAGGGCATACTCATGACACCTTGTGGTCTAAGATCCCCCCCCCCCCCCCCCAAAAAAAAAGTCTACAACACAATTTTTCTTTGCATTTTTATTAACTTAACACACACACACACACACACACATAAAATTGTGTTTGCGTGCGGTAGGCCTTCTCGGGTGCGGTTGTGCAGTTGCTTTAGGTGTGTGGTTTTCCTTCTAATGGTGCATGGTTTTCTTTCTTAAGGTGCGTGGTTTGTGTGCTTAAATGCGTTAGTATTGAAACTTAAGGTGCGTCGACCTAAAGTTTTAGGTACGTGGTTTTCCTTCTTAAGGTGCGTTGTTTTCATTCTTAAGGTGTGTGATTTGTATGTTTAAGGTGCATTAGTTGTTGAAACTTAAGGTGCACCATTTTAAAACTTTAGGTGTGTGGTTTGTGTTTTAAGGTGCTTTGTTTGTGTGATTAAGGTGCGTGGTTTGTGTACTTAAGGTGCGGTGGTTTGTGTTCTTAAGGTGTTTATTTGTGCGCTTAAAGTGCGTGGTTTTCTTTCTTAAGGTGCGTTGTTTTACTTCTTAAGGTGCGTGATTTGTATGCTTAAGGTGTGACGACATCAGTTGTTGAAACTTAAGGTGCGTCATTTTAAACTTTTAAGTGCGTGATTTGTGTTCTTAAAGTGCGTCTTTTTGAGTTAACCGCATAACCGTACGGGAAGCTATACCCGCACCTGAACTATATATATATATATATATACACATTGTGTTGAGAGTGAAATCTTTATCACTTTATTTTATTTTATTTTATTTTTTTTATCACATATCAA